TAAACCTCCCTATTATCAACTGCCTCCGTGGAGAGTGGTCCATGTGTGTCCCGCTTCGAGACAGTACTCGTCAAGCATCGCATTGAGCGGCAGGCATACCACTCTTGTGCCTTCATCGGCAACCACATCCACAGGGCACTGCAGCAGACCGTTATTGACGAGCTCACCTCTGCTCCAGTAGCCACAGTCCAGTCATATCTGTCAGACTCTCTGTCGCCAGACAAGACCAGCATACTCCAGGAGGCTCATGAGCTGCAGTTACGCTATAGCAAGCTGTTTGCAGCGTATGCTAGTTGTCAAGCAGTATTCTTCGAGTACGAAGCGGCAGATGATGACGTCCTGGAATCCTTGGAGAAGCAGATTCCCGAGTTCATGGCAATGGTGAGGCATGACATGGCATAACGTCTCGGGAAGTCATCACACTTAAGCTACACCCGCTGGAAATGTCACACAATTCCCTGCGTGCGACGATTCGGCGTCTCCCATGGCCTCCTCGGTGAGCAAGGTGGAGAAAGTAACCACAGGAAATTCAAGCAGCTCCGCTCATCCCTTGAGAACATGAACCATGATGTCGATCGGTTCCTCGTTCTGGTCACGCAGTGTCTGACGACAAAATTGCCCCACTACAACTGTATGATACTCCGGCCAAAGAAAAAAACGCTTGAGAAGTGGAAAGGGAAGCGTAAATATACCTATTATAACTTTCAATAACTGAATCAGTGTTTCTGATCCTTTGAATCGTTTTTGTTCGTAATTTAGGTTATCCTCCGGAGCCCAGGCCGGCGGAACCGCTAGGGTTAGTTGCCCACACCTGTCCATAGCTATAAATGTAACCAGAATGTGTCTAGACATAACACATAACGGAGAACATTATGAAGAATTAGAATTTCTTTCGATCAAATAATCTACTAAAAATCAGTCACTCAGCGACAAAAGCCCAACAAGTACAGAAATGACTGAAAAGGTTCCTCGACGCGTCGCGTGCTCTGGGAGTTTCCATAGTGATTTGCGACGTAGCAAGGTTTTCGCAGATCCTGATTTTTGGCCGCTATTGTGATAAGCGGCCGCACTAGAACCGCCGTGCACTGAGGCCAGAACACGGGACCAGACGTCTTGTTCTGAGCGGGTAGACCACCGACACCGTTACACAGTGACTGCTTCAAATGTCCACGGGGTTGCTCATTTCTCTGGTTCTGATCAGGACAACCTTTTGAAGAGCCTATTTGATCCACCTCACATGAATGCAGCCAATGGGATTTCGGTCTTTGACCACTTGGTGGTGGGTCTGATCTACTCACCTCCCACCGTTTAGGCGCTGCATCTGCGCCTTTGATCCTAGAGGGTGGTGGCGTTCCCATGACGGATGCGGAAAACGCGGCTTCCAGCCGAGTCTCACGCGAACCGTGAAATTTATTTTATTTTAATTTAATTTTTATTTATTTACACCATCTACCTGTGATCAAGCACGGCATTGATCACGAGCAACAAGCTATTGATGACTACTGCAAGATGAAAGCAGCTGCACAGCACCCGGTACAGACGCGTCAGTGTGGTATTGTGTTGCATACTAACAGTCAGCATATTGGTGCATCCCCTGATGGACTCGTTTACGATAAATCCGCGTTTTGCAAGTTAGGTCGTCTAGAAGTGAAATGCTACTCACTCGGCTTTCACCAAGTCTTCCGAGGAGAAGAAATCATCCAGGAAGAAAGCCGTGCAAGGAGGGAGGGATTTGCTGACAGAGCACAGGGAACCGAAGGCGGCACATATGCAGCTGGAGGTTTTTAGGTACTACGAGAGAGCTTGGAAGCTCAGGGCCCTACGCTATGCTTTTAATGTAAAAAGGCCAGAAAATCCGATTTTAAGGAGATAAAACGGAAAAGAAGGAGCAAACCAAAAGCGGATGAAGTGAGAGAAAAATAACAATCCGCAATAAATTCTGCAAATACTTTTGCCTAACTCATATTCAAACTGATTGAAACGTTTTTGCAATACAGTGATGTAGCCAATCAACGGAAAAAAACATTTCCATCAGTTCTAGTAACATGTACGATGAGCTAGGCAAAAAATGTCCTGATGTCTGTCCTGACGTTTCCTGTGACCGGCGCTGACTCTGCCGATCACGGGCGTTCTGGCCTCGAAGGGATCTCTCTTCCGACGTTTCCTGTGACCGGCGCTGAATCGCCCGTTCACGCTTATTTTGGAGTCGATTCTGCGTCTGTCCTGACGTTTCCTGGGACCGGCACTGACTCTGCCGATCACGGGCGTTCTGGACTCGACGGGATCTCTCTTCCGACGTTTCCTGTGACCGGCGCTGAACCGCCGGTTCACGCTTATTTTGGAGTCGATTCTGCGTCTGTCCTGACGTTTCCTGGGACCGGCGCTGACTCTGCCGATCACGGGCGTTCTGGACTCGACGGGATCTCTCTTCCGACGTTTTCTGTGACCGGCGCTGAATCGCCCGTTCACACTTATTTTGGAGACGACAGGATCTCTTCCAAAGGATCTCTCTTCCAAAGGATGTTTTTGCTGACGCATCCTATCACCTATTCCGCAACTAGCGTCCATTCTAATTTTATTTCCTCCTCGTCTCCCTATTAATTTTCTTTCCAAATTTCCCTCTACATCAGGGAATCGTATACATAATACGACGAATATTGTGGCCAGCTGTTTGTGGCCAGCTGTAATGTACAATCCTGTAGAACCTTTGTAGTCACAGATACGGGACAGATACGGTAGCTCCAGGCGTGACACAAACACACAAACAAACACCAACTCACAGATACGGGACAGATACGGTAGCTGCAGGCGTGATACAAACACACACACAAACAAACAAATACCAAATCACAGATACGGGACAGATACGGTAGCTCCAGGCGTGACACAAACACACAAACACCAAATTAAAGCTGTGTGGACCCTGGCTAGCGCCAGACGTTACTGAAGTAACGTCTTCTGCATAGCTACGGGCATAAAATTTATAATTGTAGCTAATTTTCGCCAACTGGTGTTCCTTTGGTACAGCCTATCTCCGACTCTGTTCATCATAAACTGATGAACCTTGTATCTAGGTGCATCTAACTGTTAAGGAACATTTCCAAGGTGCTAACACTCTTCATTAGTTGTATATCTTTCTCATAAGGGAGAAGATGCTCAACAAAGAATATTGTTCTGATGTGGTACGGTCGATTCTACTTTTCCAGCACACTGCATTTTCTATGGTTTGCAATATTCAGGAAATTATCACCGTTAACATCTCACACCATCCCCAAGATCATCTTTATAACCATTCCTGCTGTTTTGTGTTCAAAGCCTCTTTGGTTTGCTGCGACGTCAGGAGGTATTCGAGATTGGTGCGACCTGAAGAGGTGGATGTCTGGGGCCCTCCCCGGGGAAACGTTTGGAAAATTGGGCACAAAGAGCCCATATTTCATTGCTTCAAAACCACAAGATATAACTGTTGTTGCAGCTTTGGCCGCAGTGCCGCACCTGCTCTGACGTCCCTATTAATAGTATTATGTTGAACCGGAATTGCAGAAATCCGCATTTCGCGAATTGGTGAAGTTATTGTTGCTGTACGGCTGGTCTCTTATAACTGGCGAACATCTCTATACATAATCCTCTTCTGCTGGCCCTAAGCTCCTTGTACCCAAGATTTGGGTTGATAATATTGAGACATCCATTTTGCAGCAGTGTATGTGCCGGCATATTGTATATCTTGGGCGAAGGTGGTCTGTATGGTCTAGGATCAATTTTTTGCTACTCGTACTTGTAGTCTTCAGGGTGCTGAATCGAATGGTCTTGGTCGGAGGAAGCCGAGACGCTCCCTTCCTCTTTTATTCCCAATAGAACTCGCGCACTACCACTGAAACCAGGTGACTGTGCCCTATTAGATGGGGATTCATATGCAAATGTCACAAAAACCAGTCAACTCAGCGTCGAAAAGCCTACGACATATCGGCCAATCTCGTTCATCCTTGCTTTAACCCTTTACCGGTCTACCATAAGCGTAGCATAAGCATAAGCGTACGTTTGGCCCTCATTTTTTGGGGGTCTTGTTGCTAGGAGACAGCTAAAATGGCGCTCTACGCGTAGCTGAGGTCCAAGGCTTTCTGACGATGTGCAAAACAACCATGCTTACCATACAAATTTTTGCCGTATCGATCGACTGAAGTTTGTTGAAATTGGAAAAGACGACCATCCGCCATGCGCGCATTTCAAGAATGCGAGTGCATCTCTTGGGGCCGTGTTTGACAAGCGCTCTGAGAGCAGTAACATCACCAGTCCAGGCTGGATGTCCCGGGAGGTCTTGCAGTGTAGTGTGTTGAGAAAAAGAGTTCCGTTGAGTCCTGCTAGTTCAAAAATATATCGTCCACGAATGAAGAAACAAAATTCTCCAAACAGAGAGGAAGCCTTCTTGCTGCCGACACGGCGACAGCGACTGTCACAAGGACTCGTCAGGTGCGATCAGCTGATTCGCCTGGCCGTGAGAATCACGGCATGCGTAAGCTCGCGCCTGAGTACTCATCTGAGTGAGAGTGAATCTGACGCGAGCAGCGCTGAGATGAACAAACCGAAACTGCGATATCGTGCAATGGGAATTGCTGCTGCTGGCGTATCGCCGATGGCGAGGTGTTGGTGTTCAATGGCGGTATTGTAGAGAGCCTACATTTCTTGTAAAGACGTAGCCCTTACCTGATTGTTTATCGTACGACTTCAGCTCCATCACGAACTTGGTATGCCTTTCGTGCTGTGATATTCGTGTATTTCATTCGCAATTGTATTTTCTCTCGACTTGAAGGGCTACCATGGGCCCTATCCTTGCCTGGACCTAGTCATATTTGAATTTTCTGGACGCGTTCAGGCACACAGATTTTGAAAATATATGGTTTACCCATACCTACATCACATGGTTCTTGAGTTATTGCTGGTTGTGTGTACATGTATTTGCGTGACCACCCCTCACATACATTGAGTTAGACCGGCAAAGGGTTAATTAGAATGAAATTCTAGTAGCGCTTTTAGTAACATTTCGCGTACCATACACAGTACATTAGCGCACCACTAACCTTCACTGAGAAAGAACTGGCCTAGGCGCATTGTGACGACAGTGTCTTCTGTTGAGTCAGCCCACCCTCATCCTCCTGGATAGTGAGACTGAACACACAAACACACACCAACGCACACACACGTACACCATAATAGTATACACACACACACACGCACGCACACACACACACGCACGCACACACACACACACGCACACACACACACGCACGCACACACACACAACATGGATAGTACTAATGTCTCTCTGTCTCGCCCACTCCCTCCCCTACTCTCCTCCACACTCACACAACTAATAATATTACTTTAGAAAGTGTACCGTCAAGACCATGCAAGTACACACTGACCCTTACCGTATCTCCATTGTCCTACACCACCGAAGGCGCTGAGCATCTAGGTATATTCACGGCATTCCACTGACAAGAAACGAAAACCTTTCCCTCACCATAATTATTTCCTTATTTCCATTGCTCTACACCACCGAAGGCGCCGAGCTTCTAAAGCGGGACTCCACTGATAACAAACGAAAACGTCTTCTCCAGCTCTACGAAGCAATACTTGTATTACACCTTTCCCAGGAAGCATTCAGAGAACGGAAGCATGCAGGCAAGCCATACCAAGCAGACTAGACATAGTGCTTGGTTTCTCTGCTGGCTTGCCGTTTCAAAACTTATTACTTCGAACTCTTTAGAACAACGGGGAAGCCAGCCTGGCAATGAACGTAGAAAGAGAGAAAATGAGACGGAGAAAGTGACAGAGAGAATAGAAAGCGACAGAAAGCGCGCGCCAGAATACGGGCGAGAAGCGTCCTGCAACCTTCTTGCGCCAGGCAGTTCGAGATTAGCGCCTAACTACTTTCTCGAGCTTCGCAACCCTAACAGGCTAACACGTCTCAGCTCTACTATACAAGTCTTGGCTCGACACGAGCACAGTCGCGGGACAATCATGCATGAATGATGACATGACAGGCATGGGCCTACATTGTAGGTAGAGTGAGTGCGTTCGATTACACACTTGAATCGATTCATGAATCCATTCGCATGCATTCAAGTCGTTCGATTTCATGTCATGAGCCCTGGAATCGATTCGGAATCCATTCCCTCTATTCACATGGGGTGATGTGAATAGCGCGAATCGGTTCATGAATCGATTCGTGAATCGATTCGCGCGTGTAATCGAACGCACTCACTGTGTACTGAGTGAGGGTCCGCCACCACTCACACCCGCCAGCAGTTAGCACGTAGACCCGGGTGCTCGAATGAGATACAGAGTACCAAAACAGAAACAGCCTGAAATTGTACCTAAACTTATTCCGATTTCGTTTAGTTTTCACAAATACCATCAACATACGGCTAACGGTATGCCAAATTTCAGCTCTGCCCGGTAAACGGTTTTTGAAATACTCGCAACCCACTTTTTGTTGGGTCCTTGATTCGAGGATGTGGGTCCACGGTACGGTGCTGCCAAAGACCTGCTGAATCTGCGGCTCCACTGACCATCTTGCTCTCAAAAACGAAGTAGTAAGTAATTAGTTACTACTCCCTGGCAGTCTCTGCCCTCAACTGCCATACCAAGCGTAGACGATGGTAGACCCGTGTGCTTGAATCGGAGACGATCTGACGAGTTTGCTGTTTCTGATTCAAGCACCCAATTTTCAAGTAAAAAATCCGAAGGAAATACGACTATTTTACTGCGTGCTGTAGCTTGTGTTGTAGCGCACCCGGTACCCAGGTTCTGAATTCCTGCTAGGTGGGTCAAGCCAGACTCTCTTCCCTGTTCCATCGCCTCTCCAAAAGTATATTCTGACATTGTTGAGATTTACAGATGAGAAATTGCACACCTGTCAAATCGTTTCTGATTCGAGCACCCGGGTCTACGCTTCGAATCATTCCGCCTAGCACAATTACACACAGCAACACACCAGGCGCTAGGCTAGCCCTTTCCCAAAGATGCTACAAAAATCGCCACTATTTACCTATGCATTTCGTAACCGTGCCACAACAAGTGACAGTAAAGAGGTTCTGCATAACGAATTTCGTTGCATTTTTTCGTCACTGTGAGCACGCAGCGAAAAAGTGGACGAATGTTCGTCGAAGTGGGCGCGAAACTCGAATGTTCAGCGAACAAATTTTTCGTTGCCCTTTTGCTTCACTCCGGATACCCTTTCTACGTACAGACTTGCTTTGATCTGAGTCGATTTTAGTTTCTATCTCCGTGGCACGTCGTTCAGTGTGGTAGCTTCAGCTTACGATGGAAGGTCTTGGACGGCGTATGGCGATGGAAGATGATGGTGTGGATCCGCTGCAGACTCCCGTCGTGCAAGCGCCAGTTCCAGTCACTCCCATCCAGGGAGTAGTAAAATACATATTTTACTACTCCCATATGTATTTTACTACTCCCTGCTCCCATCTCAAGTACACCAAGTGACACTTCAGCCTCAGGTGATGGACGTACTCTATCCAGCACGGCGGAATGCCAGCGCCTCCAATACACTATGGAGATGGACCTCATCCTGCTTCGGCAGCTGCGCTCTCACCCGCATCCTTTCGTCCGTGGGTCGAATGCCATGGAAAAAGTTGCGCTGGAGCTTGGCATGCTCTCGACAGGTACATTCAGGCAGCAGCTTTACCAGATAGTGTTCACTGGTACATTCAGAAGTTCCATAATGTATTCACATAGCAGCACACTTACACATTGTGTGTGTGTGTGTGTTTTGTTTGGATAAACTACAAGTACTACAGTGTAATCATACAGTGAATGATTTATATATAGCTCATACTGGGACGAAAAGGACGAAACAGTTCTGTCCGCTGGTTGAGTAGCTCATCATTGCAAATACTCGTTCAAACTGGGAGGGCCGACTCCGAAGAACTTGCTGGTTTTGTTCCCATAGTATGCAGATATGTGAAAAGTGTAGCGACATAGTAGTAGAGAGCCACTGGCTGAAGCAACATCTTCTGCTGTTTTTTCATGTCGATATAGGCCCAGAGTGTAGAAATTTCTCCAAAGGCCCACTCCACTGCTATTCTCACGTTGCTGAACCGCGTGTTGAAATCACGCTGTGCGGCTGTCAGTGCTGCACCCTGGAAAGCCTTCTGCAGATACGGCGACAATGGGTATGCCGTGTCTCCATACAGCGCATACGGCACTCCATGTGGGTCGTCCATATGTGCGGCCAACTGCTGCAGGAGTCCACTCTCTGCCAAGACACCAGCATCATGCCTCCTCCCCTCCACGGGACCAAAGAGATGTGCGATTATGCCGTCAGGTGTGACCACTGCTTGGTACTTCAGGGCATGCACTCGTTTGTGCCCGTTGTAAAATTGCTGCTGGTCTCTGACAGGACGGCATATTGGCCTCGCGGTCCCATCAATAAAACCCCACACATGGAGATCGGGGCCGACTTTCTCCGTGATTTTTGTGGAGTACGTGGCAACTCTCTCTGCGCTGAAGAATCCTTGTGTGAATGGATCTTTGAGCAGGTGGCCCATCTCCGCCACATCCACATCAGCATTGTATTGAAAATCAGCGATAGCACAGGCTTTGAACGCCCAAAATCATCACAGAGGTCAGATAACCGGCTGGGATAACACAGCCGTCGGAGAAGAACCAGCAAACCCTCCATGCCACTCCAGTTGGTCCGGCAAACTGGAGATCTATAGTTCTGCGGCACCTGCAGCGCAAAGTATAGGTCTTTCAGCTGCTGCCCAGTAAAGCGGAAGCGCCTGATGCACGTCTCATCATCCAGACTTGCGATATCCAGACGCATGGGCACAATTTGATGACCGATAAGCATACCTCGAGCAGCTGCATAATGAATTCCAGTGACCAGAAACAACAATTCATCCTGCTCGAGGTCTCCGTCATCGAATTCCAGTAGCAGGAAACAACACAACAACTCCTCGTAATCATCTTCTATATCCACCGACATCTCCTACACCTACGCGTGCACGGCCACGCCACGGACACCACTTCACGACTCAAACAAGTAAAGTAAAGTGCTTTCGCTCCGGAAACACAAGTCAGAAAAAACCAAGTAGAAAAGCAGCATTGGAAAAGCAGCGAAAATTGCGCAGCAAAGTTTCGTCCTGCAGAACCTATTGGCGTTTGAATTTTCGCGCCTCAAATTTCGTCACATTTCCGTCATCAGCAGAGACGAAATTCGTTATGCAGAACCTCTTTAGTAACGTACGTAAGTCGTTAGTTGCTGAAATCGCATCCATATTTTCAGAAAAAGCTCAACAAGGTGCGCAACTCGAAATGAGCGAGTCACTTTTGCAAACAATGATGCCAAAAGGAGCAGAAATACACGTAGACCACACTGCTTTAGTGAGTCATGCGTGCTTTGAAGGAAGGAGTAAGATACCGGCTTTGAAGTATGCATACATGAATGCATACCTGTGTGTTCACAGAGTAAAACATGACATTGTTAGCTACTACATAACCTACACTATAGCCTATACTAGGGAAAGGAACAGATCAGACTAAGAGTCGAAGTCACTTGGAATAATTTTTTTACCTTTTTTGTCTTACTTTCGCACAGCATTCATGACATGTAGGGGCATTTCTCAGCGCTACCACATCCATTGTAGTGATTGTACTATGATTTACATGTACTTCGGCAAGTACACTTGTTATGATAATTTGATGCAATGTTTCAGCGCTTTTTGTTGGAGTGGAGCCTCACGGTTACTTCAATGGTCTCCTTCAGGGCGCTTCTCTGCTCCCGTTTGCGGAAAAGTTGCGAAGTGGTTGTGAAATGAAGAAAGTTTGCAAAAATTGCGATTTCTTCCAAAACAACAAAAAAGTTGCGAAAAAGTGGGGCGGGGGCGTCTTTGGGAAAGGGCTACTTAACAGTACTAAGTACAAATATCAAGAGGGACGAACGGAAAGGGAAAGTAAAACAGATCAGAAAGGAAGATGAAACTGGAAGAAAGAGATACGTGGAGGGAATGTGGACTGGGCGGATTCTTGAACCATTACTAAAGCGGGGCAAGACATGAACAGAAGGGCCAAGTGCGTCGGCATTCATGTTTTAAAATTTCCGAGCCTTATTTTATCGAGAAAGGTAGCGGCAGATGAATGTGATACTGTGTGGGTGAACTTACCGGCTGATGTATTCATATTCTACCTGAAACCGTATTTTATTGGTTAAATACATTTTCAAAAAGGAAGGGATACAGGGATGCAGCCAATTTGTCGTCATTTGTCACTCCGATTAGTAACTTCGGCTCTGCTCTGTTTTGTTTTGAACTGTATACGTATGTTTAACTCATTGTATTTCTTTGTATTCTGTATCTCGTTATCGTTATCTTTTCCTCTAGCCCTCTCGCTTAGGATGAGCTTTCTTTTTTATGGCAGCTTAAGCGAAGGCTATATACATGCTTTATGCAGGTTGATGCCAACGCGAACAAGCAAAATAATAATAATAATAATAATAATAATAAAAGTTCTGTAGAAAATGATCTAATCACTAACGCCTTCAATTCGCTTCAAGTGAGCGTTGTTGTTGTGTTGTCATCTTTTATGTTCCATAATCGAGTACAATGTACTTTCAAAAAACTCTCGACCACTTAGTTATTTTTCTGTTTCTCTTTTAATGACAGTCCATTGCGCGCCTGAAAAAAGTACTTAGTTTATTAGGCGGGTTACAGAACTGTCGTTCGCTGGCTTACTTGTAGTTTTGATAACGCTTCGCTCATTGAGATATCTACCATTTAACTCGGAACATTTTGTCCTTCTTCCTTTCACAATATCTACCATTCTCTCTTTTTTCTCCTTATTTTCTCCCCAACCCTCCTTCCCTGTAACATAATAACATATTCGCTGCCTTGTCATTGAGCATTTGTGCTCGTTTGGATTAGGGAATTCAAATAAAGTATACAAACAAACAAAATAGCCTTTCTTCAAGTTCTAAACACATGTACAGTCAACTTCGCTAACAACGACTGCGGATATAACGACAATTCGCTAATAACGACAGAATGTTCATGCCCAGAGCAAAGTCCCATCCAACTGTGACACATACATTGTATAGTCAACTTCGCTTATAACGACTGCGGATATAACGACAATTCGCGAATAACGACAGAATGTTCATGCCCAGAGAAAAGTCCCATCCAACTGTGACACATACATTGTATAGTCAACTTCGCTTATAACGACTGCGGATATAACGACAATTCGCGAATAACGACAGAATTTTCATGCCCAGAGCAAAGTCCCATCCAACTGTGCATGTGACACATAATTATCATGAGACTTCGGGTATAACGACACTTCGCGAATAAGGACACTTTTCTGATGTCCCGCCGAGTGTCGTTATAAGCGAAGTTGACTGTAAATACCTCAATTGCTTCACATAATGGTTGTTAGCTACATGATAATGGTTGTTAGCTACATGTATACCTAGATATACTTTGAATATAAAAGGTTTATAGATAAGAAAAACCAAGGAAGTACAATGTACGCTATATTGTCCACTAACACCACCAGTTACTAAACAATCAGCTCATGCGATAACATTGCACGGCACTGACCGACGGGACTGACGTTCTACAACTAACTGGCTAACAGCTCTAGCACATCTTGGATGCGCACTCCAACAGCCTTCCAACTACTTGGAAGGTGCTAAGGTACAGAAATAACATGAGGAGGGGAAGGTTATACTTATAGCGTAACTTGTAGTTCCTTGGTCCTTTTTCTTCTTCTATTTCATGTAATTAATCCTTCGCTCTCCATCCTAGTCCACTCAATTTTTTCACAATCATAATGGTTGTTAGCTATGCCGGGATATACTTTGAATAATAAAAAGGTTAACAAGCTTTAGTCACTCACTACTTACCTCTGATGTCAACTGGTGAGTGGTGTCATACAAAGTTCAACTAAGTACTTGGATGTCTCTTGCATTGTTGTACCTCGGCCTCAGCCCACTCTCTGGTGAGCGTACAGAGTTGTTTGCTTGACAGCATGTTGCATTCTTTGACTTCGGTATTCTCACGATGGCGCCATCGCCAATAATTAAAAGAGTTTGGAGGACGCATTGTGACTGGGAAAAGTGCTCCTTGCTACAATCTTCATCGTTGGCAGAACCCGTGTCTTGCGACCATTTGAACCGTATGGGAATTCTCCCATGATATTGGATTCGTCGTACTTCCGGCTGTCTCATTTCTGTAGGTGAAGAACAAGGGAGGAAAATGAATCGTTCTGTTAGATACTGAGACAGAGGACTAGGGGTCAGGTGCCGAACTTACCGTCAGGCTCTGCGGAAGATGTGTTTTCTTATCCGTTCACAACGAACTTTCAGCAGGAATGAGTACAGTTCAGTCAACGGAACAACTATTAATTGTATTGAACAAGGTTGGACAACGGGAGTTACAAAGGTGAATCCCTAGGCCCTAGCTAGAAGAAACGACGTGACATGTGATGGAGGTGGATCAGCCAGACACTATGATTGTGCGATAGCCTTTTGAACTATGCAGAATGAACAGGCAGAATACACGACTGACAGTACATGACTGACTATCTTCTTTACTTATAGAAGAGGCACCTGTGACGTGTGTGTGTGTATGTGTGTGTGTGTGTGTGTGTGTGTGTGTGTCACGCTCAGGCCATGCTGCGGAGCAGCGCGCGCTGCCCTGAGCACGCGAAGCGTGCGAACTGTGTAGCACATAATTGTAGCTAGCGGCCGCAGAAGCACTGATCTGAGCACGCGAAGCGTGCGAATCGTGTAGCTAGCGGAAGCAGCCACAGAAGCACTGAGCACGCGAAGCGTGCGAATCGTGTAGCCACCACCACGTGCTGAGCACGCGAAGCGTGCGAACAGTGTAGGTATACGTAGCAGACACGATCAGTACGAGTAGCAGTAGCAGCCGCGCGCAGAAGCACTGAGCACGCGAAGCGTGCGAATCATGTAGCCACCTAGCCTAGGCCATAGGTAGCACTAGCAGCCGCACAAGCGCTGCGGACCACGTGAACCGTTCTCTGGAAATAGAAACATCTGCAACAAAAGGATACAAAACTCGAAGATCTGCACTGACTGCACTCTGCATCTGATCTGCAGTGAAGAGCGCATCGCACTTTTGTTCGTATTAAAGTTTATGAATTTTTTGAGCCGCTTCATCCGCCACCAGGTGATGGACAACCCTGACCAGCCTTCCGAAGGCGTAACAGACGTCCCTCCTTCTCCTTCCAACGATGAAGAACCTCCCTCACCAGGACTTAAGCGGTCTGGCCACCACCACGTGCTGAGCACGTGTGCTGTTCATGTACTTGCTTCACCCGCATGCCACATTCGGCCAGGCAACGCTGGCCGAATGTGCTGCTAGTATACAATAACGATAAGAAAACTCTTGCTGGCAATCCGTTGCTCTACCGGCATATAGCCATGGCGGAGCATTCGCTCATCTGTGACACGTCTACCGCCGCGATCACGATCACTCGATCATACCTACCTGCCAAGCCTGCTGCGGCGTAGAGGTACATTTACGCCTACGGTCTTCATCTCTGTGAAGAAGAGGTTGGCCAATTGGTGCGACTTCGGCGATACAGTTACTTGGGGGTGTTGCTCCCCACCTGGGAGCTCGCGGTTTTCCTGCCGACTTGCATTCTCACTTGACTGACTCACGACTGCCGTCCAGATCAGAGCACACGAGAAGTCCATCGAACCATCCACTCGACAAACCTGAAAGAAAGCGCCACTCCCTGCTGATCTTGAGTAGGCTGAGGAAGATTGTGCCTAGTGAAGAGCACCACGTATCTTATACCGGTATACCGGTAGTGCTCTCCAGTAGGGGTGTGCGGATAATGCTCGAAAAGGTGGCAGATTCTGCTCGAAAAGCAGTGAAATTGGCAGAACCATACAAACCTTATGGCGGGCAATTCCTCGAATTCTGCTCCATTTCTTTATCCACATACCAAACATGATGAAACTTACCAGAAAAAAGTACCGAATTCTGCCAATTCTTCTGCCAGCATTATCCGCATATGCCTACAGTCTCCAGGCACAAACATCACCAGGGATATACAAACTTACAGAGACGCTCCGTTTCCAGTGGAACAAACACCTCGTGAACACCAGAATGATAATAGCAGCGTGTGTGGGTCAGTGTCGCTCATTGAGATGGTCTTCATCTCGCTGCACAACCTCTCTCATCCCGGTGCCCGCGCTATCAAGCAATTCGTTGCCGCTAGCTACGTATGGCCGTCCATGCGGAAGGATGTTGGTGAATGTTGTGAATCCAGGATTTATTCAAAGCCCCACATTTAAAAGTGAATAATAGCAAGAAGGTACAACTTCAAGAGAAGAGCAAGAAAGAAAAAGGGAAACCAAGGTATTATGCGGGTCTAGGGGTAGGTTGCACTTTTTGAAGCTCCCTGAAGTCTTTCTTCGTGGAGCCCAGCCGGCATCAGGCCGGACTGGATGTAGTTTCCACCTGCGGAAACTACATCCAGTCCGGCAGTAAGGTGTTCTAGTAGTACTCGTAGAAATTGGCGACTTCCGTCATGCCTGGGGCCACCACGAGAACAAACACTCGTGCTACCTTGTGCACGTCTGACTGTTCAAAACGTTGTTTAGTTCGTAGACTCTAAACTCATAACTTGTGCGGCCTAGGGGACCGGCGGATTCTGCTCGAAAAGGTGGCAGATTCTGCTCGAAAAGCAGTAAAATTGGCAGAACCATACAAACCTTATGGCGGGCAATTCCTTGAATTCTGCCCCATTTCTTTATCCACATACCAAACATGCATGAAACTAACCAGAAAAAGTACCGAATTCTGCCAATTTTTCTGCCGGCATTATCCGCTGGACCCTACTTGTGCTCCACCGTTTTCCTTGCTGCAATTTTTAATACCGGTAATTATACTACAGTCAAATCTGTCGTAAGCGACCGCCCCTTGGTGCAAGAAAAAGCGGTCGCTTACGCCAGATGGTCTCCTACGGCAGATGCATGTATGGTAAATCCGGCATACCAGGTATATGCTTCCATGTACTCAAATCGACGAGAATAATGTGATTTTTAATATCATTTTTATCGGATATTCAACGACGACCATACCCGTATAGTACGCGTATGCGATATGGCAGTAGATCGACACTGCCTGGACTTGAGAGCTACAGCACAGCCTCAGTACAGGCTAGGCGCCAGTCGATCGCACTTGCAAGACAGCGCATTTTCACACTTTGCAGTTGACAGCGCACTGGCAAGTACAGTTTCGCACCTTACTGAACCTGGGTCGCGGTCGTTACAGCAGATTTGAATGCAGCCACCGTGCATGAAATCGCGGTCGCTGGTCGCGCACAGCAGATGGTCGCTCTGGACAGATCAGTTTGTATGTGAAACCGTCGGTGCACGGAAAATCAGTCGCTAACGGTAGATGGTCGCCTACAGCAGAGGTCGCTAACGGCAGATTTGACTGTATTTTCCTTGACTCACCATCTGAGTACCGACTGCATACCTGAAGAGCCGTCATGATCCATACGGCGAAACGATCGTCGTGTGATGTACATGTAGTTAGTTCGTCCATCATACTTCATAATTATAATAATACGAACAGCATATTGCCCGCATAAACAAATCATACGGGGGTCATGCATCTGTCAATGATCGTTAACCAGAGTTGCTGGTAGGTGGCGAGGTTGAGGCATTCCTGAACCGGCGCATTCAGAGGTTTGAGGTCTTCTTTGATGTTGTCGACCCATCTCTTGTGGGGTCGTACACGGAGGCGCTTGATGTCTGAAGTATTGAGGGCTAGCTGCAGTGCCTTGTAAGAGGCCGCGTCTGGTCCTTTCCGGGCAACGTGCCCCAGCCACAGGAGGCGGCGCTCTTTATGTTGCAAATTTGTATTACGTCTATGATTTACGCATGTCGTTGTATTTGGTTCTTGTCTTGTGGAGTCCAGTGTTATGGTCTAAGTGTACGTGCGAGTATGGTGTGATTTGTGACGTTTATGGTATGTGGTGCATGCAAGAGTACGCGGTGTCAGAGTTAGTGTGAGGATGTGCTTCCGTCTGTGTGAGAGTGACTGTCAAGTGAATTCTGTACATGCGCAGTGCTAGTTTGGTCTGGGAATGAGAGTCGTGTGTGATTCGTCCGTGGTCTGGTTGTCTTGGTCTTGGTCATGTGTTCTGTACGTATTGGTCCCTGATTGGTCGTCTCGATTTGTCGTCGGTTTATTACTGCTTGTTCTTTGTTGTTTTCTTTGAGTCTTTTCCCGGGAGCTTCTCCCGTCGTCGTTTTGTCCCCACCAAGTTTGTCTCTCTCCTCCCGTGTCCTCGCCGTTTATTATTGAGAAGTGAATACTAGTATGGAAGCTAACTGAATGGTGCGTTGTTGAGTGACGGGGGCCAGGGGGAGAAGCCCACTTCATTTACATGTTTGCGAGATCGGGGCTTGGTTGGTCTTTCGGTAAATCTTCTTGTTGGATATGTGGTGAGGGTGGACAATGTTCATAATATATATCGGAGCTTGCGACGATGCCATGCATCCAGTCGATCCTCTAGCTTCTTTGTTAGTGTACAGAGACCACAGTTGTACAAGAGTACAGGCAATATCAGAACTTTACACATACATAAACGAGATTCAATACTGCGATAATCCCAAGCAATGGAACCGAAAGCACGGTTTGCAGCATTTATCCTTAGCGTCCACGTCCTCAGCTGACCCTAGCAAAGAGCCCAAGAGCTTCACTAATTTCCACTCTGGGTCAGCCTTGGTCGCGGTAAATGTTTGGGTTTTCTGAAGGTTAACCGTAACTGTTTTTTTCTCAGTGGCATGAAGGGTGATGTCGTCCGCGTACTGAGAGTGTGGACAGGGTAGAACTGAAGGCAAGGAAATCAAATCAACTTTACGCATAGCTCCTTCGGCGTACATGATATACATTATCGGGGAAATTGGGTCGCCTTCGACAACTCCAATGTTTGTGTCAAACGGTGTACTGAGCTGGTTGCTGAGTTTGACCCGAGCAGACGTGTTGGACATGAGTGTTTCCGGCATTCTGACAGGGCAGTCTGCTGCCACCATCCTCTCCAGAGCTGTTTGGCGGATTATTGTGTCAAAGGCACCCGAGAAATCCAACAATGCAGCGGAGTAGTGCAGTCATCAAGACTCAAGAGTTGAGCGTTCGCACAACATTCTGGTAAGGAAGACACCATCTGCTGTTGAGCGGCCAGCACGAAATCCTGTCTGACTCTCGCCTGATACTTCGCCTGATACTTCGCCTGATACTTCGCCTGATACTTCGCCTGATACTTCATAGTCATAAACTAAATACAGTACTGTAGGATATTGGCATTCAGTTTCTTACAATACACAGCGTTGCATACCTGATGAGGGCAGTTTTGCTGAAACGTTGTAAAAAATTGATTGAGAAACGAGTTCGAGTTTGCAGCGTGAAGGGGAAGAGAGCGGGTACTGGGTCTGCTCTGAAAC